CCCCTGGGGAACCCGACGGCGGCCGCGGGGGTGGCGAGGAGTTAACAAAGCTCGTCGAGCTTCCGCGGGCGTGGAGGCCGGAGTCCAGGGTCTAGATGCGCGGGTCCCGGGTGGGGTCGGGGCCAACGGGGTCGTGGGCGGGTGTCCTACGGCGGATCGTGCCTCGCTGACCCCGGGCGGTGGGCGTGGGCAGAGAAGGGCGCTGCACTTGACCCTAGCCGTCGGGACCCCGGAGACTGGGACACCCGTCACCGTCCCACCTCCCTTCCGCCTCCCGTCTGCTCTCTGCGGGGATGCCCCGGGCTAGACCCGGTCGGTCGGCGCCCGGCGGCATGGGGATTCCGGCTTGGCGCCCCACCCGCTCGCTGACCCTTCTTCCTCAGGCCCTGGGCGGGAGGGCGGGCGGTGGTGTAGCTTTAGGGGTGCCGGGGTGACGTCCGAGAACTTCCCGGGGAGAGGGCGCACGGGGGATTTCCACAGTCCTCCCCGCGGCCTCCGCAGTGGGACCGTGTTAGGAGGGCACTCGGGGTTGTCCCAAGTCGCGGGTGGGGTTTGGGGGACTCCTCTTCCTCTACTTCCCACTACCCCCTTGCACACACCCCAAAACGTCCCGGGTCCCTTGTCCTCCACTCCTCCTCCCCCTCAGGTTTGAGATGGGTGGGTGGCTTTGCGTGGGTGGAAGATATCAGGGATGAGGGGACTCCCCAATTCTAGGTCATGCCTTCTGCCCTTTTTCTTGGTTCGCGTTGGCTGGGGTGTTCTTGTGGTGGGCGAAAGTCACTACGTTGGCTAGTGGCCTTGGTCCTTAACCCATTGGGTCTGTTTTAAGGTAAATTGCTGGGAGTTTGAGAGGTAAAATTTTTTTATTTATTGAAATTCTTTGGGGTTTTCTCTCAGGATAGAAGTGGAAGAAGAATCTTTTCTCCCCCTCTTCCTCCATTTGCAGTCTTTGTGAGGTCTGTCTGCCGTGTGCTTTTTGTCCCAGATTAGCCTTGTTCAAGGATGGAGATTCCCAGGCATGGAGGCTATAGCTTCTGGCTTCCATTAATCAAATTCGTTAACCTTTTAAAGGAAAATTGATTTTTGTCTATAGTCACTTCAGAAAAATAACATACACTGAAGATGAATTAATGCACTTAAGATTGTAACTTAGTTACATATGGTAGATATGTTAACTTATCCGATTTTTGGAGATGAAACTAGTGTTTCTTTTTAAATTAGGAGATGAAGTAATGGATTGTTTTAGTTAAAGTGACACAGCTGGAAAGCCTCGTATGGAGTTTGGGGGAGATGGTCTGTTCAAATAGAATGTTTTTCCTATTCTGAGTTGGAGTACCCCTGTCTCCCTTTTGAGGGATATTATTGCTCCTTTTACCCGTTCGCCAAATTTCCTTATTAAATGAAGGTTCTTCTAGTTAACTGGTGTTAAATTTAAAGAAATCACTCAGGTGTCACCTTTGGTAAAATGAACTCAGGTTTAAGATTAAGAAACTGGTTTCAAACTGACCCTTTGGCCTCTGGAGCAAATTCAAATGTAACCCCCCTCCCCCCCATCTTCCTTCTCTTCCAGATTAATTAAAAGAAGAACAAACAGTAATCCTTGAAGATAACTGGGCAGTTTTTCTTTAAATCATCTTTAATTGTAAAAGTTCAAGTGGAGTCAGAGGCTCTTCTTACTGGCCTGACGATTTATACAAGTCTTCAGTTTGTCAACACAGACCAACAGATTATCATCTTTAGAGAAGATTTTTTTTTTCTTTTTTTGTTGTCCTTGGTGCCAAAAATTAAATTTGGGTGCATCACTTGACTCGTGTTTGTGTCTAGGTTTTATGACGGAAGTAATTTCATAAACTTTTCACTTGTCTTGCTTAAAACCAAACCAAACCAAACCAAACCATTGCATTGAACCTGGAAATCTTGAATTGAGAGAATTGGTAACTTTAAGTTAATGTATCCGAAGAATTAAAAAAACAAGTTTCCTCAGAGTTGTGCCTCTTAAAATTCTTTATTATTGGAAACAAATTTTATAGTACTTGGAGTGAAATCTTACTAGAGTATAAGCAGAACCGAACAAATTTCAATGTTTATTGAGTAATTTAGGAAGAGATCTCTTTGGAAGTTTAAATTTTCTATGGGAGTAAGTTACCATAAGTATTGGTATACATTACTTTCTTCAAGTAAGCAATTAAATAACAATGCAAATCTCAGATTTACTTATTTAATACAATAGTTTTTAGCAATGGAAAACCTACAGACAAATTTCTCCTTGGTTCAGGGCTCGAATAAAAAAATGAATGGGTTGGGAGATGATGGCAGCCCTCCAGTGAAAAAAATGATGACAGACATTCATGCAAATGGAAAAATGATGATAAACAAGATGCCAACAGTAAAGAAGGAACACTTGGATGACTATGAAACGCCAATGGAAACTGATGGAGAGCATGTCAAGCGAACCTGTACCTCTGTGCCTGAACCTTTACATTTAAATCCCAGTTTGAAACACACTTTGGCACAATTCCATTTAAGTAGTCAGAGCTCTCTGGGTGGACCAGCAGCATTTTCCGCTCGATACTCCCAAGAAAGCATGTCACCTACTGTATTTTTGCCTCTTCCATCTCCTCAGGTTCTTCCTGGTCCATTGCTCATCCCTTCTGATAGCTCCACAGAACTTACCCAGACTGTGTTGGAAGGGGAGTCAATTTCTTGTTTTCAGGTTGGAGGAGAGAAGAGACTCTGTTTGCCCCAAGTCTTAAATTCTGTTCTCCGAGAATTTTCACTCCAGCAAATAAATACAGTGTGTGACGAATTGTACATCTATTGTTCAAGGTGTACTTCAGACCAGCTTCATATCTTAAAGGTCCTGGGAATACTTCCATTCAATGCCCCATCTTGTGGGCTGATCACATTAACTGATGCACAAAGACTATGTAATGCTTTATTGCGGCCACGTACTTTTCCGCAAAATGGTAGCATACTTCCTGCTAAAAACTCATTGGCTCAGTTAAAAGAAACTGGCAGTGCCTTTGAAGTGGAACATGAATGCTTGGGCAAATGTCAGGGCTTATTTGCACCCCAGTTTTATGTTCAGCCTGATGCTCCGTGTATTCAGTGTCTGGAGTGCTGTGGAATGTTTGCACCCCAGACATTTGTGATGCATTCTCACAGATCACCTGACAAAAGGACTTGCCACTGGGGCTTTGAATCAGCTAAATGGCATTGCTATCTTCATGTGAACCAAAAATACTTAGGGACACCTGAAGAAAAGAAACTGAAGATAGTTTTAGAAGAAATGAAGGAGAAATTTAGCATGAGAAATGGAAAGAGAACTCAATCTAAGGCAAGTTTTTTTTTAATAGCAATTTTGAATAACTGATGGTTTACTTTGCGATCAAAAGTATTTAGATTATAATTTGTTAAGAAATGACATGCAACAACAACAATGGATCCACGTAATGTTTGTATTACATGTTTTAGTCTATAAAGTACTTTCCTGTGCGTGTTGTCATTCGAGCTTCTGAACAACCTAGTAAGAGAAGTAGGATTATTCCCATTTTACAGGTAAGGAGAACGAGGCTCAGATCAAGTGGCTTTCTCAAGATTATGTAGTGAGGGAGTGGAGGATTTGGGGCTTCTTTCTCAAGTTATATCCTCTCACACATCCTGCTTTTTGATGAGTAAATCTGTTGTTTTCCTAGAATTCGTGATAATTTACACGTTGGTGTTACCTCATTCCCAAATGGTATAATAGCTAGTCAAAACAGTTTTGGTCGTGAGCTCCAAACAGCATTTTTCAAAGGTACATCTAGGATTTCTGACATTGTTTACATAAGTGAGTATTTAGGCTTGATCAGTGTTGGAAACAAATGGAAAAGAGATTTTACTGAAGAATTTGTGATTCTAATAACCAACATTTGTTTTAAAGGAATAATTTTAAAAAATTGACAGCCGGAACAGATGAAAGGTTATTTTAGACTAAATACATGTTAACATAAAAACCTATCAACAAAGAGATCTTAAACTTATTTTTTTTTCCTCACTGTATTATGTGGTAGGCTAAACTAATATCTCCATTCCGTGAGTTTGAATGCCTGGGTTATAGATGAGATTTGGGTTATTAAACAGTTTATTGGCCTAGTTTTTAAATATATTTTGCTATTTGATTAAAGTCAGTGTAATAGCTAACACTAAGTGTTTGAAATGTAGCAAGCATTGTTTTTGAGCAGTTTTACATGTATAATTTTGTTTGATTTGTACAAAAGATTGACCATGTTTCATTTTAAAGAGTCTAAGTTTTCCACTATTTTTATTCCTTGAAATAATGTCTGCCCTTTCTACTTCACAGAAGAAATGAATGGAGCATATTAAATGACGGAAGGTTATTCACAGCAACTGTAGAACTTGGCTAGAATCTAAGATTTGGTATCCTGTGCTTTATTATAGTGCCCTTAGGGTTTTGAGGGAAATTTAGTTAAATTTAGATAAGATGGTGATTTGCTTTTGAAGCCCCATGAAGATAATTTTAAACTAATTCAGGGTAGTTTGCTACTGCTCCTTCCAAAGGATCTGCAGGTCTTCGAAATTCCTTGCCTGTGGCTACTAGATATTCATGTTGTTCATGTGCAGTTGTAACAGATTTTGAAGCAGGAGTGACTTCAAGCCAGTTCTCAAATTGCCGGACTTGCTTACAGCTGGACTGCACCCATGGTAAAGCTTGTGCCTTAGAGATTATATTCTGAAAGTATGGAATGCCCCATTCGATATTTATGGTGTGTGTACCCCCAAGTTATTTAGGGCTTCTGCCCTTATGTGGCCATAGATGACTGCATTTGCCAATATTTGCCAATATTTGCCAAATATTCACTCACCAATCTTTGTTGCATTCTTTAGGATAAACTACTTTTCCTAATATTTCTGCTCTGTGTTTATGAAAAAAATATCTGAGAGCTATGATAAGGGTTAAAAAAAAAAAAGGATGATGAATTTACTTAACTGAAACTGAGTGTGCTAGGGTTTGGTTAAAATGGAAACCACCCTTCATCTGGATATAGTCCTTTATTGTCTCAGAACTTATTAATTTGGATTTATTTTTTCTTTGGGGAAGATGTGAGAATTTTTCCATCTTTTCCTATTATTTTTTGCAGTATTTTCTACAGTGTTTCTGGTATATTTTGAATTGTTTCCGACTTTATATGAGTTTTAAACAATTTAAGAGAACTTAAGAAAAATTTCAGCAAACCTTTAAGGAAGGAGATTTTTTGGGTTCATGTGTAATACATACTTGAGTGGTTGTTTTGTTATGCTTGTCATTTCATTTCACATTTAAAAAATTTACTCCTTAAGACTGTGAGGTAGTTCTTTTTTGAAAGTCTGTTGAACAAGGTTTCTCAGATGAGAAACCAGGCTCAGATGGGTCACATGCTCCTGGTTGTATAACAGGTAGGTGGTAGAATCAGGAGTTAAATGCAGGCATTCTGACATAGGTCTAGGACTTTTAACTGGTTTTCTCTAAAGAAAATTTAGTAATGGAAACTTAAAAAACAAGTCAGTTTCGTATAATGGTTCTTAACTTCTGTGTTAACTTATATTTAGACTAAGGTATTTAACTGGTAAGAGGGGCAAGGAGATATTCCTTGACTGGGAAACATTTTTTAGTATCATCTGTGATTGCCAAACAAACCAAGTTAGGCCGAGGAAAGCTCATTTTTAAAAGTTGAAAGACCTAAAAAAAATATATGTGTGTGTGTGTGTGTGTATGTATGTACTAAATGTAACCTTATATAAAGGACGATGTTTAGTGTAACTATGAATGTAATTTTATATGTTTATGTAGTCAAAGTATTGTTTTTGGAATTAAAAAAAAAAACCCTGAAACTAAATAGGCAATTGTTTGAAATATAGCAACTATTAAATTATTTCTAAGGATGGAAATTATATTAGTGATGATCACTAAACTATTTGTATAGCTAATAGCTATATTTAATTTGCATAGCTAATAGCTGTATTTAATTTGCATATTTAGTAGCTATATTAAATTAAATTAATTAATTTTTTAAACGCCTATGGCACCTGGTATTCTTAGGTGGTCTCCCATCCAAGTACTCACCAGGCCCGACCCTGCTTAGCTTCCGAGATGAGACGAGATTGGGCACGTTCAGGGTGGCATGGCCATAGACAGTAACTGTATTTTAGGTGAGAGAAATAAGTGGTATAAGATCAGTGTTCTATGTGAAGGACTGACTGTATTCTTTGTAGAAACTAAAGCTATATTTTGAACTTTTTTACTCAGGTCACTACAAGAAATACACTTGAGTTTAGATCTGCCTAGGTTGCTTTGCAAAATGATGTTGAAAACCTATTTATCTTTTCAATCACTTGAGTTTTTTGTGCTTTTTATTAGAAAAATGGTTATCATATTTCACAATGTACAAATATATGCAAGAATATCATATTCCTGATTCTCCATATCCTCAGTGGATATTATTTATTTGATCTAATTCTGATTTTGTTGAATCCTACATTCTTGTCTGTGGGGAAAAAGGTTGTTAAGCAAATGGACCATTTGTAAATAAAATTTGAAAGGTGATATTATTTTCAAACTCTATCTATGATGCAAGTAGATGACCTAAAGATATTAACTAAAAAATTTACTCTTAAAGCTTATTAAATATTTCACTATTTTTAGTTTTGCATTTTCCTTTTAGTTCATCATTTCTGCAGAGGTCATTGGAATAATGATAATAGTACAAAAAATTTCTCTACTCCTGTAAGCTACTATACTTTCGTTTCAGAAGTTAATATACTTCCTTGTTTAGGAAGTAAGGAAATACACTAGAGAGAATGGACGACTACAAAGAGTAGTGTTGGGACAAAATATGTTTGATCAAGTTGGGAATCGGTCAGAATCAAGTAAGGTATTTATTCCTATGAGGGGCCAGTATCAATGTTTTGTCTAACTTTCTAAAATTAATAATTGTCATTATGAGTTTAGAGACTATGTTTTTCCTGTTTTCCCAGAACATAGTTTAGTGTCTGGCACGTCCAAGGCACTCAGTGAATATTTTTTTTCCTTTACTGATTAAATGTAAAAAAAAAAAACAAAAAAAAACCACTTTTATTTTAGAATATTTGGAATTTTTTTGGAGAAATGATGGTTTGACCTTTAATAAACACATAATTTGCAAATAAATGAATAAGAATACTGATCAAATGAGAGTTTGGATGTGAAGCATTTGGGAAGTTAAAGGTCTTAAAATGCAGGATGATACTTTAAACTGTGGTTGAACTATTTACTATTATATATTTGAAGACTTTTTTTTCCTTTCTCCAAACATTTTGACTTACTTTGAATTATGTGAAGATATTTTTAAGACAAATAAGATAACTGAGTGTTGGGTTCAAATGTATCTCACTCTTAGTTGTTTGTACACAGGAATTACACTAATTGGATATTTGTTTACCTACTAAAATGAAATGTGCAAAAAGAAGGTGCAAAACAGGTTATAAGAATTGTTATAAGGACATTTCAATGAAATCTTTAGAATGGCTTTAGGAATAGTGCCCCCTTATGGTTTGGGAAATACAGAGTGTATATATTCATTTTACCGTTAAATGGTAAAACATTTAAAAATGTTAATATTTTAAAAAATATTTATGAGAAAAACCTTAGAAATTTATTCTTTTGGTCTGAAAAAATTAAACTTCAAGGAATCAGTGTTTAATCAGCCAATAGTGTTCTCATAGCTATGCATACATTATAATTTATGCCACTGGGAGTACAAGGATGTAAACAGGAATTGGGTTAATTTCAGTCTCTTTAGAATTCTGGGAGTGGAAAGTGATTGTGGAGCCAGAACTCAATTTGTTCAAGTAAAGAGATAGAACTAGTTATGAATAGCTTTAGTAATGGCTTGAACCTGTATTTTGCCTACATATAGAATTTTGGTCTGTTGAGAGTTTATATACATAAAATAAAGATTTTATTAGACTACAAAAAGCAAAAGGAATATATAAATAAACCATACACCGGTTTTTTAAGGCGTAGTTCGCTTCATTACTACAGTGTTATAGCACCATGGTAGGCAGAAAGAGGAATGAATAGGAAAGATATACAATTAATTTACAAGTCATTTTGATTTCAAGACTTAGAAGTGTGTCACAGAAATATGTACATAAACAGTAGATGAAAGTGTCCTAAGGCAGGAATTCATCTAGTTTCTGAATCTAGAATGTGGTAGATGCTTAATAACGATTTGAATAACAGAATGAAAAGTCTTAGTAGCCCTATAAAGTTACCAGTGATCTTTGAGGAAGAGCATATGATTAGTTTTAAAGAAAGCA